AAAATTATAAAGAATGAAAATGGTTCTCATGTTTATTGTAAAGTTAAAGTACTGTAAAGTTCGGGTTTCTTTTAACATGTGAGTCTACTGGATAGACTAGAATCCATCCCCATTTTCAGCACTTCCATACAATTTTTCTCATTGAAGTGACGAATGTTTTTATGGTTATCAGCTATTAACAGCTGAATCGACGAAAGGTTAGCTTCATGCATTTGGCTGAAAAAACAAGCGTGGCAGATACATTTCAGACAGTTAGTCACTCCTGGAGTAAGGAGCCAGAGTCAAATGCTGACCTTATTTTGGAAAATATACACTTTTACTGCCTATGCTACTGCTGCCAGTATTAGTAATTTAAAACAGCTGCTTAGACAAGCAAGATGCCAGACAGATTCATTGTTCATCAAAATTCATTTCCTTCTTCATATCATATTTGAATCATATTCCCCCCTTCTTGACACACCTCATGTGTCAAAGGTAATTATTTTAAATTCAATTTCTAGGTTTAATTTTAAAGTGAACAGAAATTTAAAAGAACAGAAATCAAACAAAATTTCACAGTTTCACCATTTGACATTTTTCCTTTGTACTATTTTATTTGATTGACCTCTTGCACAGCCCTCTCAACTTTTGGAATACAGTTTGTATCTAAATTTTGTAAATTGGTACATTAACATTCTTATATTATTATTCCCCCTTTATTAATGTAAAACTGGGGCAGATTCCTCTATTTTTTGGCACTACTGTACTCCTTCTTCTTACGTAAGTCTCATTAAAGCTTCTGGAAAAATGAGTTAATTTGTCACACAATACCTTATCCTTCTGGTCTTATCATCACTGTAAAGGGATTCAGACAAATTAAAGTCCCATCACTCCTCTGTCCACGTCTGTTACGAGTACCATTCCTCCACCGCTGTAAGTTCATAACCAGAACGTTTGGCCTTGAAGCATGAAGAACACAAGGTCCTGCAAGAGAGACTGAGCCTCTTTCCTTTTGGCCACTTCATCCTTTGCACAGATGGTTTTCTTCTGGGAAAAGGTGTTGAGTGAGAGCTGAAAAGGCTGGTTTATGGCATTAAAAGAGCCCAAGAATACTAAAGACTGTTCATGCTGTTCTTCCAAGAACCACTGGGGCCAACAGTGCAATGAGCAACGCAACAGGAATGAATGTGAGAATAATTGGGTTTTATTTTTCTGTCTTGAGACCTGAGATTCACCATCTTTACATTTACGAATACAAATAATGAAGAAAATTTGGCAGCTCTGCAGTGTGGCACATGGTAAGTGAATTAGCAATGAAGCAACTGAACCTGGCAGTTAGCAATGCTCATTCACCACAACTTCTAAAAATTTACCTCTTGTTTTTCACCTTTACTTTTAACATTTGAACAACTTGCTAACTTTCTTTGTAACTTCTCAGACTGCTAGCTAGCTAGCACCAAACATTAGCACCGAGAGAAATACATGATAATCAGCAAATGTGCTGCAATATCAAATTTGCAAATGATGAGTTTTAAATGCTTTCAGAGAATGGCCTTAGGGTGAGCTACGTACTTGTCAAATGTCTTGCGAGCTGGACGTCCTCTTTAGCCACAATACTTTTAATTGGGCGTGCTGTTGATGTAGTGTGTAGCTCCCAGATGTAAATGGGTGTAACCAAGTGTGAAATTGGTGTTGCTGAGAAGGAACACATGCACGAGACACATTACCTTTCCCAGGATAGGTGGATCCCGTCAGTGTGTGGACAACTCCCACTGGGTGGAACTAAGAGAACATGAGAGCTGTAAATCGCATCTAATGAAGTAACTGCTGAACCCTTTGACACCAATCAGAGAGCTTATCATCGCCCAGCAGATGTATAAACAGTCATTTTTGTGGTAGGGGGACATAAGCAAGTGACAAACCGACCTTCTAACTGCCATTTGATAATGTTTAAATGCAGTATCTCTTTCTTCTTAGCTTTGACACATGAGCTATTGGATTCCTGTCATCAAAATGAATAAATCTTTCATGATCCTTTCCGCCTCATGGACTGCGACAACCGCAGCTTTGGCTCCAGCTTGGGTCTCGTCGGTCCTCTCGTTAGCCTGTTTTGCTTTTTTAAAGAGATGTATGATGAGGATTTCCGTTGAAAGAGCTGCTGAATTTCTCCCATGAGTTCCAGACAGGTTCGGGGCGACCTCCCACACCGAACGGTGTTGACACATTACGAACTAGCTGAGTAATTCTCCCATTTCCTTTGATTCTCATGCTTTCCTCAAAATGTGTCTGTGTGTGCACATATGAATACGCACCCACTTAGTCCTTCACCCTCTATTCATCTATTTGACATATTGAACAGTTTTTTTCTTCTCTTTTGACTGCTTCCTTTTTACTGACATCCCCTCCATTACCGTTTCAGTCTTCTCTGCCATTTTGACTCCCCCAGAAATGTGGATTTCTTTGGCAAACACCTCCATTAGGATGTGCAATTACCGATGTTTTCATTTTTAAATATTGTCCCATTTTGGTCAGGATATAATTATAATTAGGATTTCCTTTTCCACTCGCCAGTAATAAGTCAAATTTGATGATTTCCCTTTTATATTTCAAGCAGGGCTGGAGGGCTTTTTCCAAGCACAGAGTTTGTGTCGCTGGATGCTTGGCACCGCAGCCATGGTGATGGATTTGAAACCCTTCTCAAAAACAACACAGCTTACCTTTAATCGCGGCAGCCCACTTTACACGTTAGCACAATCAACTTAATTGGGGAAATAGCTGAGCAAGAGGTGACATCAAAGACGCAGGCAAGCAGCCAAACTCATGCAATCACTCGGCATCCATTGCTGCCTCTGGATGAGGCTGTGTGTCACGGTAGCTACAGTGGAAAATGTGAACCCCGCACAATGTCCTTTAATAGGCAAGAGAGGTCTTTGAGGCATGCCAGCCTGCGTTACGGTGCCTATTTGTCTTGGTGGAGTTTTTATCAGGGCTTTAGAACTCAAAGATGTGTTAGTCTCTCACAAGAGACACTAACGGATGAGAGTAAAAATGTGCACTCTTTGAAGGTTAAAGTGTGGACCAGCTTTGTTTTCCAGGAAGCAGAGCTTAACCTTAAAGTAATAATACTTTTTGGAGCCTCCAGTGTCACATTATAAAACTGACTCTTAGCAAGCATGCCTGGTGTCATTCATTTATTGCCAAGTTTCTGGCCACACACAAACATGAACACAAACACACACAGTTTAGGTCCATTATTCATGCTCTGTTTTACTCCCCACCAGGTTTGGGGAAATATCTACTAAATGTTGTACTGCCTTCATTGGCTAATAATGTCCTTAGCTGCTGAACCTTGCCACAGAGAAGTGTGCAGAAACCATAAGATGTAAAAATAGAACTGATTTTTTTAAGGAATGTTATTTAATTAGTTATTTAACCCATCTTTATTCAAAAGTAAAATTATTCTTTAACGCTATAGTTTGTGCTAAGTTTAATTCATGATATGATCAGGTCTGCAGCATAAGACTGTATATAAAAGATGGAAGTCACTACTATTGGTTTTGCATTGTCATTTTGAATTAAACCAGCGGTAGTGTGTCAGAAATGTCACTGTTGTTTTTGGACTTTTGTTTCAAAGTCTCCAGTTTAGCGTTTTGGTTCTTTCCATCAGCCTGGGGGGTTTGTCAGCTGACTAGCTAGTTTGGTTAGCAAAGCAGCATCCTTAACCTGCTGGTAAATGGGATGCTAACCTTTACCAGCAGGAAAAAAAGAGCTAAGCAGCCAAAACCAAAATGTACTCCAATTACAAACCAAATTGGTTGTTTAATCCACCCCCAACAAGCAGTCATGGCAGATGGCTGCGCCTCCGTGAGCCTGGTCCTGGCAGTGGGTTCTTCCTGTTAAAATAGTTTTTCCTTCCCACTCTCACCAAGTGCTTGCTTACAGGGGGTCTTCTGATTATTACAGTGATTATAGCAATCATAGTTATCACAACAAGCTTTAATACCATTTACACATTTGTCTTGTATGAAAAATCACATGAATGTGGATATTACCTATATGACCAAAATTGGTTTAAGATGTTGGCTTTGTTTTTGTTTTCCACCTTTGGAGGTTGTCACTTGGTCATTCAGCTGTCGCTTTTTATTATGGGCATTCTAAGAAACTATTCCTAAAGAAAATCTAACAAAAGGGGGTTACTTTATTAACTTGGAACACCTGCTTCCAGAAACAGCAACTCTGGTAATGCTTTTACTGCTAAAACTGGGAAAGTCACTGATTAATGGTTGTTACCTTTTTGTTTTTCAAATCCAACAAAGTGCGACTTAAAGAAATGTTCCCTTCTGTGTAGAGTCATGCACAAAATCCAAATGTATGGAAAATGTATGTGGAGGATTTTTTTTAATTATTAGTACACCACAAGACAAGGGTTAGAAAACATCTGAAAGGCCGCACAAATCCATCTCCAGCCCGTCTTTCACTGATCCGTCATCACCACGAGCAGTGACCTTAGCAGAGGCTGCAGAGGTCAAACCACGCTGTCCATCTCCGTTACTCAGTTCATGAATAAACAGAGGCCAGTGTATGGGCGTACACGTCTGCTAGGGTGATTACACGCGCGCAGAAACATGCGCATGCATGCTCATACATCCTCGTGCTGATTCCACTGGCATAATTAGAAACATTTGGGATCATTTGCAAAGAGAACACAAGCTCTGATGGGATCCAGATGCACTACTGGGTTTCACTGAAAATACAGGAACCCTTATTTATGAGGGGCCTTTGCTGGCTCCTCACTCAGGGAAGTGTGTGTGTTTGTGTGTGCTGCCCAGTTTGTTCATATACTAAATGGGTGTTTGGGAGCAGATCATCCGTATTCAGGTCATACTCCGTTTAATTGCTTTTGTTTTTGTGAGAAAATGAAGGTTTGCATTTCTCAAAATTTCACTCAAATTAAAAAAGAAGCAGTTAGTGGATCACAGAAATGCCTGATGACGGTTACGTCCCTCTGAATGAAAATATCCTGTCACTTCAAGAGGTTTGCTCCAGTCGTCTTCTTGTTTTGATGTCACCAAAATGTTTGCTGTGGAGAAAAATAAAACAAATCATAACCATTATGAACTAAGTCATAACACAAGACTCAGTACTAGTGATCTCTGGTGCAAGGCAAAGACAGTGTTGTTACATGTAGCACAATGCTTCCACCTTGTGGATATGATATGAACAAACACTTTAAGATCAGTGGGAGTTGATAGATCTCACAGTGGGGTATAGGCAGGAGAATTATGATGACGCGTGATAGCCAGTAGCAAGCTTCTGGTACAGTTTTGGTCGATGTTCTTATTTAAATTGGTTGGTTTTCTGGCACCAACCAAACTTTTAAGCATAGTCTAAAACTTTTAATAGGGTTGAGTGTGGGGCTTTTTAAAAGTCAATGTTAGTCTGCCTTATCCATTCCAAAACTGATGTGTGTTTGGGATCATTGTCCTGGTGGAAAACCCAGTTGTGTGCAATTTTCAACCACCCAGCTGTTGGTTGGAGGAGGGAGAGATTGAAGAATGTGGAAGTAGTCCCCCACCTTCATTATCCCATCCACTTTTTTATGTGCCAGTACCATTGCACCAAAACAGCCGTGGAACATGATGATCGAACCACCATGCTTGACAGCTGGTGCACTCTTCTTATGTTTGAAGACCTCATTCAATATTCCTTAAACATACCTGTTGTCATTTTGACCAAATAACTTAATCTTTGTCTCATCTGACGATAAAAATTTTCCCCAGTTGGCGTTTGACTTTTTATCTGGGTAGCTGCAAATTTCAGTTAAGCTTGAAGGTGCAGGGGATTCGTTCTTGCTTGGCAAGAAATGTAAAACTTGCTTCACTGTGAACATTGACACTGGTGTTCCAGCGTTTTCCAGTTCATGGCAGATGTTAAGTTTCTCTTAATTTTCTGTCATCTAGGGATTTGGATCTTCTTCCAGAGATAGTGGAAATAAATCTGAATAATGTGTGGTTGTGTACAGTTGTTTGAACCGATGATCTTAGAATCTGAACTTGTTTAAAAATGGTTCAGAGAAACTGTCCCAACCTGTGCAAAGCTACAGTTCTCCCTTTTATTCACTGGGATGCCTGGAGTTTCCCATTGTTCTGAGTATTGGTTAATCCAATAAATGCTGTCAAACCTTTTTATGCTGGCAAGGAGAAACTACCAATAACAAGAAGTTAATAGATCTTGCTGAGTGAAATTATATGAGACATTATAGAACCTCCACCACTGCTTATTAAAATACTTCAGTGGGTGTATTTATATATTTGAGCATGTTTGCACACTTTTAATCCTCTGTCGATGAGGAAAAATCCTAAATAAATTTAAACTTGTACTCTGATTCTTGTTTGTTTCTTTTTAATGACATTAAAGATGTATGCTTTTTAATCATTCCATTTTAAAATAATTTTACAGAAATTATGTGCACAGTCTGGGTGTAACAATCTACATCAATAACATTATTATTTCTCATTATCCAGACACTCACCTATACATCAGATATTCTGTCCAGAAATAGCCGTACTGTGTCTCCAGCCTCTCTGCTCTTCTATCCCGTCTTTATTTCTTTGGAAAACAAAGATAAACTTTCATTATTAGTTAGAAGCACAGCCTCTTAATCTAATAAAAGTTACATTCCTTCATGTCATGGCACATTATGTAAGATGTTAGTGTTAGCAACATTATGCCAAATTACAATGTTAGTTATGTAAGAGCAGTGTTTATCCCTGTGGACTCTCAAACACCATTAAACAGACTTTCCAGTGTCTTTCTGACAGTGATAAAAAGTGACCGTGTAATCACATATGACAAAACTCCCACAGGCTTTTTATCACAGTGTTGCTGTCAAGTCACATCAGCTGACGCTGTGGAACATTCCTGACCTTTCTACAGTGTTGGAGTCCAGTTAGTAGATCAGCTTAATGTTCCTGTCAACTGATCAAAACAGCTTTATCGGCCGTTCTCCCTACAGTCTCCGTCGCCACCTCCTGCTTCGTTCTAAAGCCCACGGTTGCTTCAGACGATGCCGGCGCTGTGTAACGATGAGGTCACTCATGAGCCAGCGAACTGATCAATTGTAGGAAGAATCCCTGGTAAACAGGAAGACAAGTGGGTGAAGTCAGTGCATGTAGAAACGTGTATGTGCGTGTGTGTCAGAGTGCGTATTTACCTGGTGGAGGATGACAGAGGGTCAGCTGGACTTCAGGTGGAGAAGTTTTGAAAAGCTTTAGCACCTTCTGCAGGATGAATAGTTGATAACAAACAAAAATGCATGCAGATATTTTTGAGATTTTAATCATCGTATATACTGCATAGAAACCAAGTTTCATACAGCTATATAAAATCCATCGTATCGTAAGACTATATCTGATTTGAATGGAAGAAAATCAAAGCCCACTAACAAAACTAGCAAACACAGATGATTAAGCTTAAATGGACGGTTCACATCAAATTAATCTTCCCTCTTGCCTGCAGTGCTGTTTATCCTACAGATTGTTTTGGTGTGAGCTGTCCACTTTTGTAGATATCAGCTGTAAAAATGTCAGCCTGCTCTTGAATATAACAGAACTAAATTGTACTTGCCTTGTGCTGCTCAAAGCACCAAAAAAGTACATTTGAAAAACTCAGCAGTGATGTCTCTTTCCAGTAATCATGACCCAGTTACTCAAAAAGATTCTCAAGTACATCTCAATGAACATCTACCACAAAATCTACAGCCCCGAGGATGAATTTGCATTTGCACTGCCTACTTTAATTTAGCATCTCCACATACTGGATAGGACAGCTCCTTGAGCGACTGGCCATTGATGGCCAGCAGGACATCTCCCTCCTGGATTCTGCCGCTCTGCTGAGCAGGCTGACCCGGGAAAAGCTGCTTTATCCGGACGAGGCTCCCAAAATCTCGGATGGGCGGGTCCAGCTCACACATCAAGAAGCTGAAGCCCAGCCCATTCTCATTCTTGATCAGAGTCACTTCCTTGGTGTTGTCTTTGAGGTCGAGGATATGGGCGGTAATGGGATAATGATAAGGTGAAGCATTGGAAGGGCAAAGGAGAAGAAGAAGGAAGATAGAAGAGTGTGTAGTAAATGCCTTCATTCAATAACGTCTCTGTTAATTCATGTTGCTTAAATGCTTACGAATATGTTACACCAACTCCTAAAAGTTCTCTTATTCACCTATTCCTTTTTCCTTTTTTTCCTCTCTGGAAGGATTATGTGATAGGCCAGTCTGAATCTGTATTGTTTGCTCTTCAGTCAAGTCACAGTGATGTCTCCTGTTTTCCCCACTACACCTTTTTGTGTAACAGTTTTTGTAAAGATAGTGGTCTAAAATCCCTCCTGACTAACTACATGAAACATCTCATTGATGTGCTTGCCATTAAGCATTTTGTATTAATTTTGTATTAATGTATTAATTTCTAAACCTGAGCTGAGGTGTCGTACCATCAGTAACAAAGCTGTACTCGTAGGGCCGATCAGATATCGTGTTTAAAGTAGTGCTCACAGATGAGGAGCTGTTGCATCTTAGCTGGCTGGTAGATGAACTCAGGTTCGGATTGGATACAGTGCTGCTGGTGTCAGCAATAAGATAGACCCTGGGTAGGTTGACCAACTCCCTCTCCACAACCAAGGACACTACCTATGATAGAAGAAGACAGGACAAGATTGGGATTTGGTTAAAAAAAAAAGGGGGGGGGAGATAGGAGAGTAACAAAAGGAAAAATGTAAATGGATGGCCACGGTGGAACAGAATTCAGTTTGATATGAAGCACAGAGATGAGACCGAAAATTGACAGGATAAATCCATTTGCAGCTGGACTGAAATGGAATTCATGTTGGATTTCTACTAATGTGGCTCAGTCTGGACGTTGTGCTCGCTCATATCTCATCTTTAAGTGTCTTTGCAGACACAATGACCACAGGACATAGAACTCAAATCCAGAATCATGGAAGTGAACTAAATCCATCTTTATACTGTCAGGGTATTATAGTTGGCACCATGGACAGCAGCATAGACAGAGTGCAGTACCGGCACTTTAGTGAGAGATTATTTTAGACCTTACTTTAGATCGCTTGAGATCCAATAAAGTTACAAACTGTATCTAATATGACGGCAAATGATTTTCAGGAGTTTTTTTTAAGTCTGAGCACACAAATCTGATTTTATACTTTTGGATAGTTCATCATGCAGTAGTTGTTTCTCACATTGACATCCACAAATCCACATCATTAGTATGGCTAAATCATAAGTCACCATCAAATGCAGACACTGGTAATCCTTGGTCCCTTGTAGTCACATTTCATGAATTTACCTCCCCAGTTTTACTCAAGCACTCCACAGCCTGCTGGTAGGTGAAGCCCTGGAAGTTAGTGCCGTCGATCTCCAACAGTCTGTCACCTGAGAATGAAAGAGTTAAGAAACAGTTAACTCTTACTATAACACTTCTTCTTTTTACAATTACAAATGTGTGATATTGTAGTTTTGACTCCTTTGTGCCTCCGTGTTATTTGCTTTTGGGTTGTTGTTTTTTTTTTTATTTATTTGATTAAACCATTAGGTTTTAGCATTGCTTGATTTAACACAGAGTGTAAGAGATGAGAGATGAGATAGCCTTTATTTGTCAGTTGCAGTTTCTCACAACCGAGATGACAGACCTTGCCGACCGTACATACAATACACAAACATCACATTGGGGAGACAGGTCAGGCTAGGTAGCAAGGGGGAAAAAAACATCGAAATGTGTAACACGAAAGGATAATACAGCAATGCACAGATATCAACACACCATAACACAATAAAACACAGACAAGCAACATGGGAGAGTATTCCAGTGTGTACAGCTGATCTGGGAGCGCTGCAATCTTCGATTGCGCCTCCAGCTGATCCGTTGTCCACATCGGATGGGAGGTAAGCAGGAGGCGTTGAAATCGAGGGAGGGAGGGTGATATTGAGGGCGTATCAGTATCAGTATCAGTGTACATGTTTCGTGCGTGTGCATGTGTGTATCCCGTGTTCAGCTGAGAGAAAGTGTCACCACGCCCGGGCGTGGTGACACTTTAAGCGAAGGTCAACGGTCTCCAGTGGACCCAGGTGGCCTTGAAAGAGGTACAAAGAGTTCTGACAACAATCCTGTTATCATGGGAAGAATTTGTTGTTCCAGTCAGCTTCAACCTTGGCAGGCCTTCAGCTGGCGCCAGGGGGGCCGCATGAGTGAAGATGGTGAATGTTTGGGTTTAGTGCGAACAACTGCATCCAATTTTTACAGTTGGTCTAATGTCCATCACTGGTCACCAATTATCTCAATTCCCGTTGTTCTTCTCCAAGATGTTATCCATATTGCATTCAAAACACAGTCTGAGTACTCACAGCCCTGCCATCGTCTATCATGTCGGCCAGCCTCATGGGATTTTGAACAGCTGTAGCTGCTTCTTGTTCTTCGATAAGCCAGCTCCAAGCCAGCTCCAATCAGCTCGAACTCTGTTATCGTGGTTCCAAATTGGTAGATGTCGTTCAATGTCCTCCATCGAGAGTGTCACCAGACACACAACGCAACCGACCATCGAGTATCCGGCAGCAAACGTCTCCGCAGGACAATCGGGCTCTACCAAGCCTAGTAGGGTGTCAATTCCATTACGGGAGCAGTTGATCAAATCCATAATTCTTTAGGTTTTAGAGAACAAGACTGGGAAACTCTTTGAGGGTTAGAGTTAGAGACGAGACTAGACAAATACATAGAAGCAGCAGCAGGGAAGATAAGGGAGGGAGAGGGAGAAAGATGCGTCCACCTCCTCCGAGAGCCAAAGAGCAAAAGAGTGTAATACCTATATGCAAACGTCCATCTCTCTCAGCAGCCCCTCCTGGAACAAGGCTCTTGATGTAGATTCCTCCATTAGGAAGGTTAGTGTTGATGCCACCCTAAACCATCATTAACAGAAGACCTTAGTTTAACGTGATGACAACATAGATATATTGATAATTATACTGTGATATAATGATAATAAAGTTGCTTAAAAAGGTTTATTTTGAATAAAATAGGAGAGCAACCTCTGTGACAGATTCTCAGCATACTCCAGTCAATCTAGCTCAGTCTCTTTGCAATGGAGAACTCAACTCAGCTGACTGTCAACTGGTTGTATCCTAGCTATTTTCCTAAATCATCCATTCTGCGTGTTTTTATTGAAGAACATTTATTAGAGGAGCTTTCACTACAAAGTACTTTACAGTGTGGTATTGCTTTCTTTTCCAGTGCAGATCAGGTCAAGAAAGGTAACTCTCTCTAATCCTTTCAGACCATAGATGTTAATCAGATTGGCTGCAGTCTACTGCTGGAGATGAGCTGCTGTACTAATTGTCCTCCATGACTGTTAAGCCTAATGTTTTTAATCGAATTATTGCCTTCTTAACACATTAGTTAGATGCGTACAGGCTATTGAATGCTAATACCAAAAAAGCTATTTTCAAAATCTCAGTTTGTAGTCCACATCTTAAAAATGGGCAATTTCCTGCCCAATCTGTTCATTCTATATTCATTCATGTCACAAACTTACAGATATGCTAATGCCCAGATTTCCTGATATCTTCCTGAGCTCCATGCTGATCTCTTCCGGCTTCACAGAACAGCTATCCTGAACATAACACAGACATTAACAACACAAAGTTCAAGCTTCGTCCTTACCTCACCTGAAGTATGCTTAAAGAAGGTTGTTAAACAGATATTTAGCAATTAACTGTGCAGAATTATCACAGTTTAAATCCCTAAACTGCTTGGATGTTACCTGTGTACTGAGAACTCGAACTTCAGGGGGGAAGTGTAGTTTCTTGCTGGTCTTTGGAGTCATCATGACTGACACAATCTCATCAAGGCTATCATCTCTCGATCGTCCATCTGTCATTAGTGTTGTCTGGGATATATATTTTCTCAACCCAGGAGAACGACAATTATTACTGCTGGGACTGATGGGAACTGTGGATAATGGCAGAGACACTGTAAGAAAGAGAAACAGTATTCAAAGAATCTTAAATGAAAATGTACAGGATAATTTTGCAACAGCAAAGATGGGGGTAGTGCAAAAACTTTTTAAACCCTACTTTAAGTGAAAAAAGTAGGGTTTTAAAAAAGTAGTTTTTTTTTTATTTATCTAAGCTAGCTAGTTGCTAGAGAGCATATGGGAGAAGGACGCAACCCATAACAACAATGCTCAGTGGCTATTGGACCAAAGAGCAGACCATCTCAACCTTCCTGAACAGGGTCCAGTGACCATCACAGTGGCATATATGCAAGAAAGGGTCCCAGTGTGAAGAATTACATCACTAGGCCCTGATATAATTCATGCCTACTGGCTGAAAAAGGCTGACTGCACTCCGTGAGCATCTGGCAGCACAAATGAACCAGCTGCTTGTAGATGAGAGACACCCGGAATAGTTAACTTGAGGCCGGACTGTCCTGATCTCCAAGGACCTCCAGAAGACAACGGACCCATCCAACTAGCAGCCAATAACCGGCCTCATTACCACATAGAAGCTCCTGTCAGGCATCTTAGCAGCTACGATGAACAGGCACATGGTTCAATAAATGAGCGGGACACAGAAAGGAATTGGCAGGAATACCAGAGGGGCAAAACATCAGCTACTGGTAGACCGAGCTGTTGCTCAAGACTGTAAGACCACCGCCTGGATTGACTACAAGAAAGCCTATGAGTCAATACCCCACACATGGATGCTGGAATGCCTAACTATACAAGATCAACAGGACCATGAGAGCCTTCATCAGGAACTAAATGGCAGCACTAATAATGGCAGCACAGTAGGGTTGGTCGATATAACGATATATATCGGATGACGATATAAAAACGTCTATCGTTTCATTTTACACTACCGTTTGTTTCGTGGTGTCGCAAAATAAACTCTTTACGGCAATATTTTTTCATCGTTTTGATGGTCACTGTAGTGGCTATATTAATTTCTTAATGTTCTCTCTTTCTCTTATATTTTATATAACCACACTACGGACGGACAAGCGCCTGTTTTTATGCGTTGTCATTAGCAACAACAACGGTAACAGCATCGCGTGTCCGCTTTTTTATGTTCCACATAAAACTTTCACAATAAAGCTCAAGATCCTGTTGAGACTTTTCAAAATAACTGAATCACGTGAAAGAGTATGCAGAGTGTTTACAGATGAGAAGTAAAAAAGAGCTGCCAAGTGCTAAAAAATAAACCTTAGACTCAAACATTAGAACAGGCTTTTCCCCGCAGCACGCCGTGTAATAAATACTCACAAAGAAAAAGGCGGCCGTTACAACTTATGTCTAAAAATGTATCGTTTCATGCATCGGTTAAAACACTCGACTCCAGGTACACGACGCCCAGCTGGAAACACTTCATGCAAGTCGAGCTGCCCGAGATTCATAAAATTTACAGAAAATGTAAAATTTTTGTGATTTATATCGTTATCGGGACGATAGATGTCTTATATCGGGATATGAGATTTTGGTCATATCACACAGCCCTACAGCACAGGAACAAAATCTCAGCACAAGAGCCATAGAGGCTGGGATCTACCACACCAGGCAAGACCCCAGGTGTGGGCTGTGTAATGCCCCACATGCCCCAAAGACAATCCAGCACATATCAGCAGGGTGCAAGATGCTAGCAGGCAGAGCATACATGGAACGCCATACCAAGTGACTGGCATAGTACACATAACATGTGTGCCATGTATGACCTGGACGTCCCGAGGTCAAAATGGGTAGTCAAGAATGACAGAGCTAAGATCCTGTGAGACTTCCAGGTACAAACAGACAAACTGGTGATGGCTAACGAACCAGCCATGCTAGTGGTGGACAAGCAGAGGAAGATGGCTGTAGTGGTAAATGTAGCTATACTGAGCGATAGCAAAATCAGGACGAAGGAACACGAGAAGCTGGAGAAATACCAAGGCTGAGAGAAGAGCTCGAGAAGAAGTCGGGAGTGAAGGCAACAGTGGTCCCAATGGTAATCGGAGCCCCCTGTATTAA